TGTTCTTCCTAATGCTTTCTGTTGGTCTTTATCTTCATACAGGAGCAGCAATTTGGGGAACTGGAAAAAAACAGCGACAAGCAGCTTGTTGGCGATAGTCAGGGACAAATGGATCCTCCCTCTCACTTTCACCAGCTGCTTTCTGGACTTCACAAACACCTGCTTGCTCATTGCTACATCAGTTCCAGCCCGGAGGTAAACAAGGAACTCTGCCAAATGTGAAGGAAAATGAGTGGTACCTCATCAGAAATGAGCACTTCAGTAGAAAGCAAATGACACATTTCTAAATGTTTCAGGGTACAATGTGCTGGCATACCAAACCTAGTATTTTACGCAGTGTTCTTAGTATTGTAGTTGCATTTAAGTTTGCATTTTTGGCTCTGTAGGATGACAGCAGTGTAGCACTGCTTCGTGAGCATCTTTACCTGCTGCTTCCCTGCGCTACTGAGACCCTCAGGAGATCAACCAAATTGTTAAAGGAGATTGCCCCAGACAAACAAATCATCAAAAAGCTGCAAGGTAAGAAAAATGGTTTTGGTGTTTGGCAAGTGTGCGCTATTTCCACCTAGCTACACCACTTAAAAAGGGATTTATTTACAAAAAAACACAAAATCACTTCTCTTCTAATCATTTATACATCTGAAAAGTAATTTTTAATCTCTACTTGGCTGCTATATTTATTGTTTATGTTTATCATCACTTCAGTTAGTTTAATCCCTTTACTTCTCTCTCCTCTTGTCCCAGTGGTGTTATACAATTCAGTGTCTGGCAGCCTTCTGTGCCAAGTAATGTACTCCTTGCTCCTGCTGCCCCTGGGCACAGTTCAACCTTTGCTGAGCCATCTACTAGGCTTGCTGGAGCAGCTCAATGACTTCAACAGGTTGCTGCCAGAGACTGTCTTGCTGGAGGAACAAGAACTAGGAGTGAAAGATCAGAAAACCTGCTCAGGTAAGCTCAATGCCCCTTAGATTTATGCTGGACATTTATTTCTTTAGCATTGTTTGCTGCATTATTACACTAGACCAATCTAATCTCAAGTGATATTTTTTTATAGATAAAAGTGAAGAAAACACAAGCATTGGGCCGCAGGAGGAGGAGGAGTGCAGATGGGCCTGGCTGTTGGACCTGGAAAGGTCTGTAGCGCTGGCAGTTGGCCGCTGCCTCGGTGGTATGCTGCAAGGCTCACCACTGTCCCTCCAGGAGAAAGCGTCAGAGGTCTGGCTATCAAATGTCCTTTTCAGGAATGGCCTGGAGATGGACTTTGAACAGCTGGGTAGGAAAACATGCTGTTGGCTCTTCAGGTTTTCACATGTGCAAATGCTTCGTAAATCCTTAATGCAAGATTTATTTTGCACCATATTACCATGATCGGTTTGGTAATAATAAAAGCCTTCATTTAGCTGTGCCAAATGGCATTAGTTATTATTAATAGCTCCAGGCCAAGTGGATATTACAGTCACTGCAATTTTTTTAGATTTAGGCTCAATTCCGTTTTTTTTGATCAAATTCGATTTTTTTTGTCTGCTTGTTCACACTATAAATAAAATGCGACAGCAAACGCGCTCTAGTGTGAACGCTCAAAGCGGCCCGCATGCGCAAAAGAAGACGTCACACACAACGCGCTCTGTTTAGACCCAGAGCAAACAATATTGTTTGACTGATGGCCCTTAATATAAAGACTTCGGACTTTACGTTTCCCAATTTTTGCTTTAATTTATTTTGTTATTTACATAATAATGTAGATAACCTAATAATTATCCTTATTGCTGTTTTAGAGAGGAGCGGTGCTTCAAAGGATAGTTGCAGATTTCTGTCAGAATCTGCAGATTATACAGTACAAATAAAATGTTCACGTTGTCTTCCCAACAGTTTAACTGACATCTACACTGGATGGCCAGGAAGTGTTCGCGATGTCTTCTCGGGCACTTCTCCGGAGCTAATAATTGGCATCTGTCTTGTGTCAGCGATGTAAAAGACGGATTTAATGTGACATGACCGTTCAAACAGCAGTCGCTTTCTAAAACATTGGATATGTATCAGATTCAGTACCACATACGAAAGTGACCCAGATCGGATTTGAAAATAATCGGATTTGTGCCGTTCACACTGTCATACCATGATTGGATATGGGTCGCATAGGGTCAAAAAAATCGGATTTGATGCGCTTTCGCCTGCAGTGTGAACGTAGCCTTAGTCACGATAAAAATATATACATTTAAGATACTTTGCCACACAGAAGCCTGACCTTTTTTAATTAAAGGTATCTTTATCGTTATTCTTAAAGAACAAAGAAAATAGTCTGAGTTAATCCTGAGCAGTTTTCATTAACATTCTACATGTTGCTTTAATCTGTAGACTCAAGCATGACATGGCTGACCGAGGTAGTGCTGCTGGGCAGTACTGATGCCAGACTCACTGAGCTGAGCTTGACTGAAGAAACCCGGACTTTACTGGAACTGGCACTGGGCTCATCCAGAGGACTTGCAGGTGGCATATGGCAGAAGATGGAGGATTATGCTCACGGCAAAGGTACTTGTGCTTGTTTATGTGTATAATTTTGAAAGTGTATATTGTTAATAATACAGCTTATATTTAACTAACTTCCTATTTTGAGAATCTTGTATGGATGTTTTTAAATTTTGGTTAAAATGTGGAAAGTTTTTCTTTGTGTCTTTTTAAAATTGATCTGTATTGATTGCTTCGATAGCAGAATGGGAGAATGGAGGCTCTTCAGGTGATTGTTTGCTGCAAATTGTGTGCCGCTGCTGTCTGGCTGCTCTCCTGAAACACACGGGCCTGCAGAGTGAGGCCTGTTGGCAGGACAGGTCAGTTTACTGAAGCAGTCAAAGATCTATTGGACAACACTGAAGGGGTTTCTAGTATGTCAAACTTTTTCTTTCTGCCTCAGTGTATATTATTGTATAACCTGTTCCACTGTGTTTATCTACTCTGCTGAGACAGCCATGAGCCCTGTGAGATGCTGTTTGATGTCTATGAAACCGTTTATAAAATCAGAAGTGCTCTGATGACCCTCAAAAGCAGTTCAAGGATGACACAAGTAGAAGCATCTACCAAACAGGTACCATTACAGTATAATTAAATATATGTAATCCTGATTTCATTTAACAAATTTGTAAACAGTTTATCGAAAATGTATGTTTTTGTAAATACTGCTGCATGATTGTGATTAGCTTCATTTCTGTCCATTAATTGATTTTTAACTTACAGTAATCTGATCATTTTTATCAGGTAAAATTACAGATATGTATTTAAAGCATTTACTTAAACTGCAGATCTCTCAGTCTCCTCAAAGTCCTGATGTGGAAAGGCAAGAGCCATGTACCTCAGTGGAGCAGGTGGGGAAGGATAATGAGCAGCAATCAGTAGGACACTGTAGCCGGGAGGTGCAGGTGCCCCCGTCACCCGCAGCAAACCACAACCAGGAAGAGGTTGCAGACGATGACAGATTTAGCAGTCGTGTTTACCTGTCAGGTTAGAAATGCAAACTGTATTTGTTCTTATTCTAATAAACAGCACAGCCACACACACAGAAAGAAATATGACACATCTTATTTTCACACATCTTTCGATGTCCCTGCAGAAGTCCTAGAATCATTCATGGCCACTCGGGAAGCCATGCAAGTGCAGCAGAATGTGACAGTCTACGAGTCATTCGGCACTTCCACCCTTCAGAGCAGCGTGGAGAGCCCCGTCAGTCCTGAGGGAGAGCCTGATTCCAAGCAGCAGTGGGAGAAGAATGGGGAATCTGAGGAAAGCTTGTCTTTCCCTGCTGCCTGCCATCTGGTGGTGTCCCGATGCCTCTTCCTTCTGCTGGGGGTCAGGCCTGCTTGGTTGGAACCCAGCGAAAGGGAGAACGTTCAGGCTGTGAACACTGGAGGGAGGTAAAGACTGTGGTATGCAGTGTGTGTTTGTTTTAGTGTATTTGTGTTCTGTGTTAGTGGTTTTTGTGCTAACTGTCCACAACATCTAACTTTCAGGAAATTGTCAGCAGAATCCCTTACAGTCACTGTCAGTGGAAGAAAACAGGTCAATATTGTACTATCAAAATCTTCTATCAGAATTTGGCTTTACAGCTCTTCATCAGCATTAATATACTGCTCTTATGTCTTATTTAGTCTGATCAGTCCAAAAACACCTCTGGATCTGCAAGGAATAAAATGGGTAGGTGGAAAGTTCAGATCATCTACTGTATAGTCTGATTATGTTATAATCGACATTTTCAGGCAGTTCTTTTGTACGCTGTCGTTAAGAGATGGTATAGACACTGATTGTTCTACTAAAAACACAAATCCAGACAGCTCAAGTCTGGGTTTGTCAGGTAAATTATTGTCAGGTAACCCTTGGGAAACAAGACCCAAGTGCTCTTTTGCACAAAATGGGACTTGGGGATTTGTATTTCAACATTTTCTTTAAAAATAACATGAGAATTTGTAGCAGGCCGAATAAATAAAGACTGATCACATTAGGCAAAACCTTTTGATCAATATGACAGCCTGACTGTTTTAACTGTTCTGCATAATCTAATAATATTGAATAATTTAATAGCTTGTTGCCTGTCAAGTCAAGATAATATCCAGAAAAAGATGTTAAGAGAATGAATGAGATGTTTTATAGTCCTTCATACAAGAGCCTCTCTTTGCTCTAGGTTTACCTCTGTGTTCTTTGGGGATAATGAAAGATGCTTGGGATCGCCTGCGACAGTGCATCAGCCCGTCCAGCACCATGTCCCACTACAGCAACAACACTTTGCCTATTCTTAACCAGGTGTTTCATTTTGTCTGTGGAAGCCTGGCCCATTTATCGCCCTCCTCAACGGTGTTTTCCCCTGGTCAGAGTTGTAGTCAGGCAGATCCAAAGTCTATTACTTTTGCCATTATGCAGCAGCAACAGCGGGCTGAGGTAATTCAAATTTTTCTTTTATATGACAAATTATTAATTGATGCTGTTTGTTGTGGGCCCAAAATGGTGTTCTGTAAGGAACTTGAAAGTCTCTTATGATCTACAAACTCTGTCTGTTTTGATCAGATGCGGCTGGAGGCCTTGTGTCAGATGTCAGCCTTTCTGTCTAAGATGGAAGAAAAGAGCTGTGAATCCACAGCATCCAACCAGTTTCCTGCTTTGTTGCAGTCTGTGCAGCTGCAGTTCCTGTCTGGATGCTTTGCTTTAGGAACACAAATCATTGGCTCCCACTCTGCTAATTATGAGACTCAGCACTACATGGTACATCTTATAGTTATATGGAAAGACGTTTAGAAGTAATGAATATGCTTTCTAATCTGGATGGAGAAGAGAAAGACACTGAAAATTGTAGCCATGCTTCATTTTGCTTTCCCCCCTCTTTTCTCAATGCAGTGTGGCACACATTCAGCTTCTTTGGATACACAGAGAGAGTTACAGTCTGCAGCCCACACCTTCTACCAGCAAGTGGTGCGTGTTCTTAAACACAGAGTCCTGTTTGAAAGAAAACATCCAGGTAGGTTTTTTCTTACACAGTGTTGCGGTGTTTAGGTTTTAATATATATTTGATATTTATATTTAACATATTGTCTCTGTCACACTCAGGTTCTTGCCAGCACCTTCTTCTTGCCACAATGTTTGCACTGAATTTCCATTACCAGCCTGTGGATCTGGTGCTAGTCATCAAATGTGGCATCCTGGAAATTCTTTCCACGCTGACCAACAACAGCTGTGTGCTGATCAACCAGAGCTGGTTTGCAGCTACAGCGTCTGGATCTATGCTATTAGGTGGAGCCGTGAGGCTCGCTTGTGCCCGCCTGCTTCAGATATTGACTGTAGCTGCAAGGTGAGAATGAAGAGGTTATCAAAACATAAATAAATAAATAAACAAAGTATATATAAATTACTAATTCTTTTATTTTCTTTACCCTTGTCTAAAAATTTTCATAAAAATTTAACCTGTGCTTATAGCTCGTGTGAGGATTTGCTGCCTATCGATGTATCCCAGGCCCTTATGGAGGTGATGTGTGAGCAGCTTCAGAACATCTTGTACAATTTCCACCAGCAACAGATAGCAGAGATGGGAACAGCCGAGAAAACTGATGTGGACTCCTACACAAATCTAGTCGGTGGGGCAAATTTAGAAATAATAAATGGCGGATATGGCATTTGTAAAACCATTAAATCAAGTCACCCCTCTGAGCATGTTCTTCCTTCTCTTTATGTTGTTTTAGGAGCAGAAAACAGCAAAGTAGTTGAATCCCAGCTTGCGGATTTCTTGGTGTTTCTGAGGCGTGTACTGTCATTAAGAGTAATGAAAAGACTTTCTACATTTATAAGATGGATCGATCCACTCATGGCCATTATTTCACACAAGTGCTCTTTAGGTAAGGCAAATAAAAACAAACAAACAAACAAAAAAATATGTGTTAATACTGTTAAGAATGCACATTGCTTTTAAAATTAATATCACAAAACTCTGCTCTTCAGGATCTCCACGCTTCCAGAACCTCCGCACTAAACTTCTGACCTTCCACGTTTTAGAACGACTGTTACCTGCTTGTTCTGAGCCCGTTCACATTGAACAGGTTTGATGTAAACATGTAAATATAGTAAATGCAACAATTGAACAAAATAGGTCAAGAATACTTGAGTGTTCTGAACAGTACCAAGTTGGCATGACATGTTAAAGGTGATGAATGCAGGATTACCCACTTGTATTTTTCCCTGTTTTCTTGTAGATTGTTAAACAACTCTTTCAGCTCTTGTCTGTTTATATGTGGGAGGAGCCTCTAAGTCAGAGCAACCATGAAGAAATGCCTGAAAAAGACAAAGGGGTAAGACATTATGAACACCATGTACTGCGTTACATATTAATAAAGCTGCAGCTTCTTATCGGCTCATCTTAAGCATGTGCACTTCTCTGTATGTCTCACTTATGTTTTATTATTTGTTTTTACTGTGATCTGAAGTGATAGGAGTCATTTTTTGTTTTTTTTAACTGTCCTTTCCCTGCACTGTAGACTGATAACCTTTTGAGGGAAACGGTTACACAAAATAATACTACACACCCTTAAACTTGTGTGTTTTTATTTGCTCGTGTTTTATACTGTCTTGATTTGCAGAAAAGAAATCATGTCTGTTGCATAAACAATCCTCATCTTTGTATTTAAAACATTAGATTACATTTGAGTATTTTTGCAGTCTATTAAATTTTTCATCCAGCCAAACAAAAGCCACATAAAAATGTCAAAAAGTGCCTTCACTTTTTCTCTGTTGAAAATAGCCAAGTATAGCAGTAATCCAAGAGGAAATGCTGTTTACGGCAAAATGAAATGCTTTCCTGGCAGCAATGAAACTGAAAACAGTGGGGCCACTCGATGGAACAGATGGGCCTGTTCTCTGTGGTAGGCTGAGATGAAAAGTGTCAGAGGATAGAAATATACAAGTAGGATTAATTATCAATATTATTACATCAGGATTGTGAAATGAATTTTAATAATTCAAATAAAACTAAACTCTATAATGTTTTATTATATATTTATTATTTCATGAAAATGGGATTTTCCTGTCTTTGTTTATTTTCAGTTTAACTTTCAGTCATGTACTTCTAGTTTTATTTTATTTTATTTTATGTTTTAGAATTAATGTGTGATTTCTGATTTGTCTTAGTGTGTTGTCCACAGGAGTTACCACCCTCTGTATGTAGAAACACTTCATCATTAACATCTTTTCATTGACACACATTATATTGCAATATTTGCTTAAGATTACTTTTGCAGAGGAGGTTATTTTTTTAGTAGTGTTTGCGCCTGTGCGTGTCACTCTATGAACACAATGGCTCGAAAAGTTTGGAATTCATTCTGATAAAGCTGCAGGGGTGTAGAGGGGTCATGTTAACAGTCCATTGAAACTTCACCTCTATCCACCAAGGTCGTCAAGGTCAACTTAACGATTTATTGGTAAAAACGTTTTTTAACAAGCCTTAAAACTTCCATTCTTCCAAGTGTGATGTGTATTGTCAACATACAGAAAGTACTGTTTAAAGATTTAAAATATCATGTCACATTTGACTTCTGACCTCTCCTTGTTGAGGTCAATTGCTTAATCCGAAGGTCAAAGTTATAATAATGCTATATAATGTTATATATAAACATTAATTTGGACCTCTGACCTCTTCTTCAAGGTCTGTCTTTAAAGTCTGTGGATCTTTAGATCTTCAGATTTTACTGCCTCTCTTTGTACTGGCAATGTTTAGGAAATGATACTGGAGTATGTGGTTTCCAAATACCACATTGTAGTTTGGACCACAACAAAAAGATTTGACCTCTGATCTTACTTTTCCATTTCACACACATCTGCCTGTATTTCAAGTTGATCCCAAAATGATTTTTTTTTTTTACTCCACAACAAACTTCTGTAAGTGCAATTAAAAAGAACAAAGAAAACAACATTAATATATAAATTAAGTGTTTAATACATAAAATACATGTTTAATATTTTATCAAATGTTTAATTATGTATCAAATCCATTGTTTCGTAGAATCCTGGCAGCTACGATGAATGTATTCCCATTGGAGATTTTTCCTTTGACCCACACAAACTAATGTGCTGTTCTCTGGAGAGCGGGAACATCCTCTCACATGGTTCTGGAGGGAAAGGCTACGGTTTGGCAACCACTGCCATTACCTCTGGCTGTTTTATATGGAAGGTGAGTACTAGTTTACTCTGTACATGGACCACAATTACACAGTTCAGTTGTTATATTAAATATTAATTGTAGTTTATAAATTAGAATTCACCACACTATGCCGCTTCTCTCCACAGTTCTACATTACCAAAGAGAATAGAGGCAACGAGGGAACGTGTGTTGGTGTTTCTCGCTGGCCAGTTAGAGATCACAACCACCATACAACTACAGATATGTGGCTGTATCGTGCTTATAGTGGCAACCTTTACCATGGAGGGGAACTGGTGCGCACACTTCCCTCCTTTACACAGGGTGACACCATCACCTGCATCCTGGACATGGAGGCTCATACTGTATCATTTGCTAAGAATGACAAGGTTTGGTCAAATATATACCGTCAGTATTCCTCAGATTGAGTCCTGTGCTTGTTTAATCTTTGTCCGCCTGTTTTCTTTTTCTTTTAGGAGCCAAAGTTGGCATTTGAAAGTGTGGTCGCTAATGAACTATATCCTTGTGTGTTATTCTACAGCAGTAACCCTGGAGAGAAGGTACTCGGTGTACTGCACAGATTTATTAGATTTATTATTTATTTGAATCAGATTTATAATAAGCATGGGTAACGTTAAATATCTGGAAACACAAGCAGCTACGCATACAGGCTTTGACCAAACATCATATTACTGGATAATTGCTGCACTGCGCTATACATGGAAAAAACTTATGTTTCAAAAATATTTTGTACTGCAAAACCCCCCAAACACATGAAATTCTGTACTCGTCACAGGTGGCTCTGAGTGATCTCCAGATGAGAGGCATGCCCAGCAGTCTGCTTCCTGGAGACCCACTCTGCAGCCCCCGGGCTACTGTTCTACTCGAGTCAACAGTGCATCTGCTGCGTCGGCTCCACCAGTGTGACCAGTGGTCCCCGCACATAAACCAGTATATTCATACCCACCTGGAGCTCATTGGTCCCCTGCTGAGAGAAGATAACTCAGGAAACTTCAGTACAGGTCATTTACCCCCTTAAATAGTGATTCTGCCTCTGTTTTCTTTTAGGTTTTTAATCTTTTATTATTTAAAAAGTTAAGTAACACTTTGCTAGTATAGAAAACTCTCTATTCATCTGTCTGTATTTATCTGTAATGAGAAAGACTGATGGGCATTAATTCAGATATTACAGTGGTCCCTTATCGCGGGAGTAACGTTCCAAAAATAACGCGCGATAGGTGAAATCCATGAAGTAGCCAACTTTATTTTTTACAATTATTATAGATGTTTTAAGGCTGTAAAACCCCTCACTACACACTTTATACACTTTTCTCAGACAGGCATGAATATGTTCACACTTTTCTCTCTTGTTTAAACTCTCTCAAAGTTCAAACCGTAGAAAAATAAGTCCAGTATTATAGAATGAAACCAAAGGAACCCGCAGGTGCAAAACGTTTCGTGGACATTGTTGTGTTTGTTGGGTAGAAAACATACAGTACAGCACTTCAGAGTCACACTGCTTAGCGATCGAAGATTGTAAATTGTAAATTTGACAAGCTGAATGCATTCTGTACTGTACAAGAGACACAGCACGAGATTGGCTGTAGACCATTGTCAATCAATCAGGACGCAGAACACAGTGCGCTGGAAAAAAAACAAAAAATAAAAACCATGGAAAAGTCCATACAAATAAATCTGAGAAACAGCGAGGCCGCATAAGGTGAACCGCGTTATAGCAAGGGACCACTGAATCTGTATACAAATGTAGGGATGTACACCAACTGCAGTATTAATTAATCTTTAAACAAGCTGCTTTCCCCACACTGGTCTATTTATTTATTTCAAAATAATACTAACCCCTTATGTTTATGCTTTATTTGTAACTTTTTTGTCCTTATTATCAAAATTCACTTGAAGTCCATTTTCACTTGTTTAGGATTTTAATTAGGTTTAAGGTTTCATGATCAACTTGCAGTGGGATACTAGGAGTGCGTGGCACTTGTTTGCCAAATGGATGTTACGCTTTGTTTTACTGTCAGTGTCTTATGTTCCCCTGCAGGCCTCAGTGCGTCACACAATGAGAAGGAAGAGAACGACAAGGACCTGACTGGTGATCACACAAAGGACGTGCTGTCACACTGTCGGTTTCTGTCTGAGGCCAAGCTGGCTGCTCTTTGCACTGAAGTGTGGCCGGTATTTGCTCTGATTGGAGGAGTTGATGGCGGTCTCCGTGCTGGAGGCCTCTGCCTGCACAAACCCAGCGGGCGTCGAGCTATTCTTCTCGGCATTCTAAAGGAAGGAAGCTCTCTCGCCAAGCTACAGTGGGAAGAAGCAGACCTCTCTGTCAGGTATTACAAAATGAGATCATATTCCCACTTGCTTCTGATGAATTTATTTCTCTTTTTCGTAAATGACGATTCTCATTAACCTCCATGAAATGATTCTTATATTTTCTTGTCTTGGTCCTTTCAGCATGTGTATGATTCTACTCTTTCCCTTTCTGTTAGTTTGTTTTTCACTCTCTCTACAGTCTGTCTAACATTTTTATTTTATTTTCATCATTTAGCCCTCTGATCTTACTTTTTTTCTTGCTTCTTCCTCTTCATTCTTAAATCCATTAATCCCTGTTGAATCCGTCCTGGTATCACTCCATGCTGTATCTGTGGGTTCTTCCCATCCTTCCCAATAACTAAGCTCCATGAATTCTTGGTCACCCAGCGACACGCCGATCATCTCACTGGATCCCTGTGACATATCCTGCTGTGATGTCACCCGCCTGGGAGGCCTCAAACCAACAGTGTTGTTAGATCTGATTTATTTGATGGGGCTGCTGGAGGAACAGGGTTGGCTAGGTGCTCACGTGCCCCCGAGAAGGAAGTACTCTGGGGAGAACATCAAAGAATACCTGGATAAAGACATACAAGATGATGTCACGTGGCTGACAGAAAATGAAAGGAAAAAGGAGCAGAAAGATGAGAGTGTCTCGTCATCCTCAACCAAAGATGCAGCAAAGATCACAGACCTGCAGGAGTTGACCTCTCAAGCTCAGCCTCTGCAGACATTCCAGACTTCCAGAATGGATGCATTTGCACTTGAACTTAGGGCACTCAGAGTGTCATACCTTCTCACTGGAGGTTTGAAATCCCTGACTGTCATTTTTAGCTGTGAGAAACTGTCAGATCTGCTTCTAGTGCCAAAACATGAGCCCCCCAACTCCTCGGGGAGTTCCCTGTCCAGTCCAAACTGTGACCAAGCTAAAGCCGGCAGTAAACAGTGGGATGAAAGTGCTGAGCTGAGATCGGTGCAGCAGTATGTGGTGCAGAGCATGGTGAAGTGGGCAGTCAGACACTGCCCCATCAAACAGACTGTGTCTCTTGCTGATTTGGAGAGAGTTCAAGTCATGATATACAAGGGAGCTGTTAAAGGACTGCAGGAGGACAAAGAGAACAAGGGTATGTCAATGTTTATATTCACCAGACAGAAAACACTTCATAGAAAATATATAATGCAAAACCTACATGCTATAAATATTTAATCATTAAGCCTTAATAAAAGACCATAGTTACTATGTTAAACAGACTATAGCTACAAGGTAAAAAACTATTGTAGTATGTTAATGATCACTGTACTGTATCTTAACTTTTAATTTTTCTTATGATGAACTTGACCCGGTTCTACTGTTAGACTTGAAGTTTACCTGTGCTTGTCGCCACTAATTTAAAAAAAATAAATAAATAGAAACATTTATATAGTAAGAAACTTGGAGTCATAAAACCTTCACGGTTTCTTTTCCTGCAGAATCAGGCCACCACTTGTCTTCTCAGCCCATCTCCAAGTCCTCGAGCTCTGTGTCCTTGTACAGCGTGGGCTCCGAAGGCACTGCTGTCTTTGGCCAGTCAAACAGAGCCTCTGCCTCATCCTCTAACACAGATTTGGCATCCTCTCTCCCAATAAATCTTCAGGCTGACAGCCTTGATAATTTTAACCCTTTCCTTCCCATCAGCCTCCTCCAGTGAGTATAAATTGTGACAAATATGTTATTTTAACTTGATTTAAAGTGATTGTGTAATCCACATGAAACACCAAGTCTGGTAACTTCTCTGACAAATATCACAATAATTAGTCTTATTGTCAGTCCTCATGTTGTTGCTGATTGCTGCAGACCTGTGTCTTTTGGCAGCAACAGCTATTCTGAAGTCCAGGGAATGGGTGAGTTAGGATGTATATGGAAAAATGAGTGAGAGATTCTGCCTGCACTCTCTTTAACCAAGGCTGCAGCTCTGCCTGCTTGTTCTTCTTCTAACTCAACCAGCTGACCGTAGTGTCAGTGTTACGTCTGCTTTCAAGAGGCAAACAGAAACACAGCTCTAGTCACATGTGTTAAAACTGCAGATAACATTTAAAGCCCTCACTTCTGCTTGTTTTAACAAGAAGAAGGAGAAGATTTTGACCAAAGACTTCAGAATGATATAGGTTAATATAGATGAATACATAATTAGTTTTACTGTGACTTTCATATATGTAGCAGTGAATCAGAATGAATAAAGCTCAACTGATCCTTTCATTTACTTAATATGTTAAATGTCTATTGAAAATGTAACCCTACTGGTGCAGCGCTGCTTCTGCTTTGTCATTACTCTACATGCTGTATCCTCACTTCCTCTAGGCACATGGTGCTAACTCGGTTCCCTACGCTTACGGGACTGGTTAGCACTCCCCCTGTGTTGCACCCTTGCTTCAGCCTTGCCAGCTCTGCTTCTTGTGATGCCTTCACAGAACAGCAGACTAGCTTCATGGAACCCGGTCCCTGCAGCACACAGGCCAGAAGCAGCCTGGGTAAGAATGAGCACAGAGACAATGGTGGGGAGAAAAAACCCACGAGAAAAAAAGTCATCTAATTTAAGAAAAATATCACATTTTAAGGATTCTTATCAATGATGGAGTGTGTAAAAGAAAATGCCTTAGTGTCTCAGAAGTTTATTCAAAGGAACACAGTAGATCAGTAGTAACTGAGTTGGAAATCGTCTGTCTTATGCATGGTTATAAATGTTTAGCCTTTGGTCACAGCAGACTTGCTGCTCAAAACAGCATGTGTTTTGCTCTGCTGTTAGTCAGATATTAATACTATCAAATGCATGCACTCACATGCTTGAATGGCACCTTTGTTTTTCATTGTCATTTATGTTGGTGGCATTCTGAGCTAGGTCCTTTAGACTAAAGGTCTCCTCTGTGTTTCATATCATGGGATAGAGTTGGATTAAAGGGCTAGTTGACTTGCAACTTTAATCATTTATTATCTACAAGCCTGCAAGAAAGTGGAGTTCTTTACATAAGATGAGGAGGCCTTTCATAATCTAAACTTGTAAGAGGCAGCATAAACAAATAAAAACAATTGCTAAATTACACATATACTTCCCGAAATGGAGCTGTGGGCTTGTTTTTGTTTTCTGTTCTTTTGTGCACTTTTTCTTATCTCCTCAATCACCAGAACGGACACAAATGTTTGTCACCAGTCGGTTGCTAGAAATGGGATTCTCTATGAGACATATCTACTGGGCCATGGAGGCAGCAGGTACTGCTTTGTGTAGTGTGTCTGATGCCACAACATTTTTGCTTCATGTGCTTTATCTTCTTAATATCTGTCCTTTTACTGCGTGTTTCAACCTTCCTGTAGTATCTAAAATAGGATAAGTGTCGTTTTGATTGAGAAAATTTATTTTCTTTGATAAGAAGTTCAGTTTTCTAGTTTTGGGATTTTCGTGTTGCTGTTCATTGGTGGACATCAACTGAGACTTTCTAGTTTTTCAACTGGGTTTTTGTGAACAATCCACACCTCAGTGGCTCCCCACCTTGGCATTACGATTTACTGATCGGTTTCAGATTCTCTTCACCACTTGTGGAAAAGTTTTTGCACAGTTCACTTTCTTTAATTTGCAGTGTTTCATAAAAATCTCATCTTCACAGAAGATTTGCATTGTTAAAAATGAACCAATTCACAATATTTTGTTCTCATATGGTACACATACACATACATTATGAGCATGTAAGCAACTTAAAGTATGTGAATATTGTCACATTTTTGGCATCACCTTTTTTTCATCTAAATTTTAGACCTTCATCCTTTATATCACAGATTTCACTCTCTTGTCACACCTGCGTTTGTCAGATGTGCCTGGTGATCTCAGACTATAAACAGTAGCGGTCGCATGGTGATGTCTGACATGAATTAGCAATGCAGCACTCTGTGATGCATCTTTTCCTTTTGAACTGACAGTTCAACTTCCCTGTGGTTCCCCCAGATGTAGCAGGTGACTTGGACTCACAAACCATTGAGGTGTTGGCCAGCTGGATGCTAGAGCACCCCCTGACTGAGGAGCAGCAAGTAGCTGAGTCACCAAGACCAGAGGGGGCTCCTGAGACTCCGTCCCCAGATGGGCCAGAGACAGTTCAGTGTCCCGAGCGCCCCACCAGTCACACCACTGAAAGGTGAGGGGTCCAATGAACATACACTCAGTACATTCAGTACATTCAAGGAGTACACTGACAGCCTCAGTTATTTCATTTACAGTCTGTTACCTGGGCTCGACTGGATAGAAAGGGAGAACTTCTTGGATGTCCACCTCACTAGGAATAGACCTCCTCCGGCCCGGCGGCGACGCTCAGGCCCCACTCAGAGGACCTCGTTCCGAAGGGCAGGTCAGACACAGAGAAAAATCAAAATGAAATGCAAAACATTTAAACTATGTTCAAAGATAAGATGCGGACAACAGTTCCTTTTAATATATTGTATTTTCAATTCTAACAAAACTTTTTATTTTCAGACTTGCCATCACCCAGCCCTCTCCCCCAGTTGTATCAACAGCACACAGCTGTCAGTGATTGGCCGGAGCAGGTAGAGTTTCACCCTTACTCTGCTGAGGAAGAGTCAGAGCTTGGCTACATGGATGATCCATACCATGAAGAAAGTTACGAGGACCTCCTCACCCCTTCATTCTTCAGCTTGGAGAGAGACACACTGCAGATAGTGGAGGTGACACATAAGCACTTAATGTGCATGAAAAAATATCATTTTAATCTATCTCAATCTCTTTAAAGACTTTAATAAATGTAAGTGACTGAATTGATATGCAAAGTTAGTCCAGTTAAACAAAGATTAGACTTTTATGCTTTTTGACAGTCCAAGTCCACATGCATAACTTTTTAGGCTCTTCTCTTACTGTCCTTACTGTCCTTACATGCATTTTACTATGCCCCTTTTAGGCTGGAGAGGAACACAGTCAGATGGTTAAATGTGAGCTGTGCAACACCCTCACCTTGCAGTTTAACAATCACATAAAGCGACGACACCCAGGCTGTGGGCAGAGTGCTGCACGTAAGGGCTATGACAGCACTGGGGCCTACGTGGATGTTTGGTTCAAAGGGGAATGTGGCTCCAACTTCCCCTTCTACCTCCTCTGCAGCACCTGCAGGGAAAAGTACCTGGCTGCAAATGCAAGCAATCCAAACTCCAAATATGAAAGGTACAGGAGATAATGTACAGATGGGAAATGGTAGACTCATGCAATATGCTCCACATGTAATGTAAGGAAGAAAACCTTTTGGATTTACTCTTTTTCTCACTTTTCATCATTGTTGTGTCCTACTTTTTGCTTTAGGATTAAAGGCCTGACATCAGATTTAATTGGCCAGATGGACAGCACATCTGATGGTATGGAAGGTATTTTTTATCTAACGTGAGGTACAACAGAACAATTATCTTTGACTTTATAATGAATATACAATATGAATGGTCCTTCTGCTTGTGTAGATGACTGGGAGATGAGCCACCAAGATGAGTATGACACAGAGAAACTGACAGGACTGGAAGATTTTGGGCTCCTGCTCAGACCACTCGGTTTGACTGAGAAGAAGCTGGTACCAGACCCCATTGCCTTTACAGAGCCAGATCCACTTGGAGCGCTAGTTTACAGTTCAGCTTGTCCTTCAAGAGCACCTGTTCCCAAAGGTATTATTTCATTTTGTTTTGTTATACAAAGAACCAAGTGCTGTAGTTTTTTAAGTTAAAACAGAATTACAGAACCTTGATGCATAAAATGATGTCTTTTAACAGGTACAGAACTGAAAAACAAAATGATAAAAAACAAAAATGTGTCTGCAGACTTGTACATAAACTGCCAGGCATTCACAAAGAAACAAGCCATAAATACTCAGAAGCTTACTGTCCACTGTTTTTTATATTTTGGTGAATGGTTTGCTAAGTTTTTAGACTTGTAACACACACCCACATTCCCTCTGTGCATGTTGGCAGCAAGACCCCAGGATCAAAACCTAGTTTTATTCACTGCTGGGTGGTGATTCATCGCTCACTTATCATAGCGCGACATCTGAAACACAAACAGTACTTCCAGCTGTCTATTTGGATCTAGGATTGTGAATATCTTGCACACCCACACTACATAAGTGTTTTTCGGTTTTACCGTTCCATTCAAAATCATGTTTTTCCTTTTAATTAAAATGTTTTTACGTATTTCTTCCCAATAGGGAATGCCCTTGTCGAGCAGAAGACCTCTTTGAGCCTTGGACAGCAGGCAGTATCACTGAGGGACTCTCATGATAGACTGAAAGCATTAAGGAGAGTCACATCCACAGCCCAGATTCTGCTTGCTTACAGCATCGTGATGAGAGCGCTGTCCCAGACTGCCTCAGGGTTAGTATGATTGTAAAATCAACAACATTTTCTGTATTCTTTTTTAAAATGTATTCTTTTGCTGAGTGGTTTCATGAGTCCTTTCCTATTGCCATCTTCAGTGCATCAGTGAGTAGCCAGTCTAATGGACTTGAGTCCTTGGGTCTGGCAGACATCCGTATTCTGGTGCGTTTGATGACTTTAGCGGCAGGTGGCAGGGCTCACACCTGCGTGGACGGTCGGTCCAGTATGAGAGGGCTGGCGACAGATGGCAGCAACTCCACCTGCCTCACCTTTCTTACCTCAGCCATTGGCAGCGTGGTGTCCCACAGTCCTACTGCTTACAGAGAGCTGGTGGAGATATGCACTCAGGTTAGTTTTCTCCTGTCAGTCTGCTGATTATAGATAATTTAGGTTTTGAGTTCTAAAAGCTTGATAAAGTCATGTCATCTTGTTTAAAATCAGGTTCAGTTCAGTCTTGTGTGCAATTTTGGTGTGTAGAAGGTTTAAGTAATTATAGCCTCCATGGACATCCAGTAAAGGATGTCCTCTTTAAATCTTTATTGATGATCTAGCTGAGTGTGGTCTATAGATAAAGATAACTCAAGTTATACGAGAAAAGTAAAAAATTAGTTTCCTAGTATTTTGCATGAGTCACCAGAAAACGCCAAACAAATACAAATGCTAATAAACTTAATCCTAATTTTTTATTTCATAACTACAACACTTTACTCTGTTGTTTGACTGAACACAAACATCAAAACAATATTTGTTTATTAATATGGTTTGCCTGAACTTCAAGAAATTCTAAAAACGTGAACGTATGTTTAACGTTATTTCTGTTAGGACCTGATGGCAGCAGCTACAGGGGTTAATATTGGAGCCATCAGTGACCCACAGCAAAGAGCATGCCTGAATGCCAGCTTAACAGCTGCAAACCCGGGAGCCCAGCAGCAGAGGGACTATCATGACCAGACGCCGCCAACGTTCCTGGTCACACAAAGTCTGGTGTCCCTGCTCACTGAAAAGAGCCATCACTGTTACACCCCAGACAAAGCTGAACACGAGACTAATGGTGAGAGAGAGTCTGTTTGTTATACTGGATGCACTGCGTGTAATGATTTAATGCACTGTTACTAAAATAGCTCTCCTCTGGCTCAGATGCAGGAAACCAGGGGGGCTCTTCCTCTTTGACTCCCTCCTCTTTGCCACACCTCAGTGCCAAAGTTGGCCCTCTGGAGCTGGCAAATGCATTGGCAGCATGTGTCCTCTCTGCTCGGCTAACCAGTAAACACCGCCAGTGGGCAGCACAACAGCTGGTGCAGGCTTTGGCTGCCACAGGAAGGGACAGTTCTCATCGACCTCAAACATACAGCGACTTGGTTGGTGACCTGCGGAAATGCCCCCTTAAGAGACTGGAAGGACATTATAACAAGGTGAGTCATATGTGCATCCTTTTTTTGTTGTTGTTTGTTTTGTGTGTTGTGTAAGATGTGTTTTGTTTTGCTGGAAAGATTGCGTTTTAATCTTCTCTATTACCATAAGCTTGTTGCTAAAAAAAAAAAACAACAACCCACCACTTAGAATATAAATGATTACACTCACAGCTGTAACTATGACTTTATAATACTTTATACTGCTTGGGATCTTGCATTTCCCAGGTAAATGTGAAGTATATAGTAAAATGAGTTTGCATGTTCTCCCTCTGCCTGTGTGGGTTCACTTCCAGGTACTCACATCAAAGACATGCTCAGTGGTTGATTAGTAATCCTGTCTCTGTGTGTTAACCCTGTGATGAACCTGCCTCTCGCCCTGTGATAGCAGGGATAGAGTCGATCCTCTTGTGGCCCTGAATTAGATAAGCAGTTAAGAAGATGGATGGATGAGTGGATGTAAATTAAAAGTACGTTTACACTGTTTCTTTTCTGTTTAGGTGGCCAGCTGTTCCTGGAGCAGTGAGCAGAGTTTGTTGGCTACATGTTCTCAGGACAAAGTGGTACAGCTATGGAGCATTAGCCACAACACCGTGGAGCTACAGACCACCTTCTCCTGTATTACCAGGTTATACTTTTTTTGTAGTTTTGCATTTTATACACAGATTTCTCATTTTAACTACCAAAGCCTTAATTTACATTTCAAAGTCTAATATACTTGCTCATAAAGTTTTAATTATACTGAATGGACTGGTGTTGCTGTAACGTATCCTTTTTCCCGTTGATACTTGCAGTAAGACAGACCGATCGAGCAGCGAGAGGGCTGGCAGATGTCATCTCATGTCTCCTGTGTACTGGAGTACAGGGGGGAACTTTTTGGCTGCCCCCGAGAACAAACACATCAACATTATGAACATTAGAGGTAGTTCCTACAAGTCTTTTGTTTTTCAGATTTTACAGTTACTTGCAGCTAATAATAAAAACGTAAATTTTATATTTATGTTCTGTAATAATGTCAGATTAATGAAGAACTCTTTCTTTCAGTACTCTGCATTTTATATTAAAATTAAAAGGATAAAATAACTAAATATTTCATATCAAGCTTGAATGCCTGATAGTTACATTCCTTCAAAAAATAATAATGAAATAATAATAATAATAATAAATTAAGAATTAAATTAATAGAGAAAATTCTCACTTTACGCAGGTGAATATGACACGACTGACAATATCAAGGCACATTATTCTGTGACCTGTCAAACAAAAACACAGACTTTAGCCCATTTGACTGTGTTTCTGCTGCTTTTTAGGATCGCTCTGTCACGTGGAGAACCAGGGTTCTCGGGTCACTGCTCTTTGCTGGGCTCAGGCCTTCAGTTTGTGGGTGCTTGACCAGTCTGCAGCCTGTAAGAATAGACCCGCTGAGAGCCTGTTGGTGGGACGGCTGGATGGCTCACTGTGCTGGCTGCAGGTCACAATGCAGGAAACAGACCTGCTTGTGAGGAGCACTGAACTCACTGCCTGCCACAGGAACGAGGGTAAGGAGAGTCTGACACACAACTGTTGCTGCTTAAAAACAAAGCTGGTGACCAAAATTGAATCAATATATTAACAGGTGTTGAATCTGAGACACAGCTAACCTGTTCCTGCTTTAATGCTATGCTAACTGCCTGCTTGCTCTAAATTCACAAATATAAATTATGAAGACTTACAGACTTAAGAGTGATATCTATCAAATATTCTTAGTAAACTCATCATGCAGAGACGTGCAATAACCTCATATCCTCATCTTCTAGCTGCCCAGTGTGTAGCCTGGCACAGTGAGGACAAAGCGTTTGCAGCGGGCTATCCCAGTGGGAAGATTCTGTTGTCCACAACAGAAACTTATGAGAACGAGCAGCCCGTAGTGCTGTCTCTCTTCCAGGTATGCCATCCACACTCACTCTAACTGCGATGTATTAGTGAGCACTGCAGAAAATTTGGTCTCGATATTGTGGCAGTTTTATGGGGGGGGGGGGTTCTCTTTTTTAACTGCCTAACTCTGCCCTGCTCTTTACAATATAGGACAGCGTGTGCTCCTTAAAGTGGGACCCCACAGGACACTTGCTGCTCTGTTTGGGGAGGTCAGAGGTAGTAAAGGTACTGGGACGCTCTGGGAGCTCCTGGGTGACCCTCCACAATCTCTTCCACACCAGTACTGTTAACATTGCCGAATGGTGTCCACTCCCTGGAAGAGCACCTGATCCCAGACTAATGCTGGCCGCGTATGTTTAATACAGTTTTGTAGCATTTTAGAGAAGGAGAAGAATAATAATAAGAAAGATTCATGTAGGTTTCATGCTGGTCATTGATTTCTGTCTTTCTTCTGTGTGGTTCGACAGAGGTTGTCAGAATGGCTCCGTGTATGTCTGGACACTACCACAGGGGGGCACTGTTGTATCGTTGCCCAGCATGTTGAACAGCCAGGAGAGAGAGACTGAGACCAAGGTGAGTTTGGATCTGCTGCTAAAGCTCTTTGGTGCTGTTAATTTTATTTTGTTACTTTCATAAAATCACCTGTTTGTGTAACCAATTTTATCTTATGAAATCGTCTTTCTTCTTCTCTTTACAGCAGGATAGTGCAAAGTGTGCATTTGTACTTCATGGCCACATTATGGCCGTGAAGTCCCTTTCATTTTGTTCCAGTGGATTAGCTCTAGTGTCTGGCGGGATAGGGGGTCTGCTCAACATCTGGTCCTTACAGGTCAGAAAAAAAAAAGATTATTTCTGTTTGGCTCTTAAATTAGTGCCAACATCCCTAATTATTAAGTCCATCTGCTTTGTGTGGTAACGAAGGAACTGCTTGCCGTGATTCACTGCAAAATTGTAATCCATATGTTTCTTTCTGCTTGTTACAGGATGGTTCGGTGTTACAAACTGTTACCGGTTTGGGTTCAGCTGTCAGCACTACGTGGATACCAAACATGGGGGTTGCTGCCTGTTTTGGAAGGTCAAAGGTAATATGAATCACTCAAAGCCTTAATGTGTGGCTAGTATATCTCATTTATTTCTATATTTATAATAACGTTAACATCTATGATCATTTTAATTCCCTCAGTGCTGCTTGGGTAAAAATATCTGTTCTGTCATTTCTCAGGATGTTTTGTTGATCTGCTGCACCCCTGACTGGATCAACCAAAATCACGTGCTAGCTTCCTGTCGTACGGTCCTCAGAAGCCAAAACGTTTCGGGTCTAAATCGGGCACCTTGTTTGGCTGTCTTCCTGGAGAGGCTGCCCCTGCTGCTGCAGGAGCAGTACAACTATGAGCGGGTAATTTATTTAAACTGCATGTTGAAGCTATATTGGAGCTGTTTCATGTTCTACAACTGAGACATGACTTCGAATGTCTTCTCTGCAGACCCATGTGGGAGCTGGCGACCAGCTCGTCCACAGTGCCTTCCTGCAGAGCCTGGCCTCCTTGACAGTTGGGCTGTCCTTGGAGAAACACCTGTGCTGTTACCCACACCCACCACACCACACTTACCCCGATGCTCACTCCTGCCCTCCAGAGTGGACCTGGCTAGTCACTTATGCCACCACAGTGCGCAGCGCTGAGGCTATAGCCAGTGGCACTGCCTTCCCTGAAGCCTTCATTGTTTCAGAATTTCACGATGTGCAGGACAATAAAATTGCCAAGGCACTGGTGAGCAGGGACATTCTGTTTGATGCTGTTGCTTTGTCTCTATTATATTATAGTCTCTCTTGTATTGACTTCTTGCAACTTTATGCTCTCCTTTGTCCTTTAGGACAATAGCAAGTGGAGTTTCAGGATGGATGAGCAGCTGATGTCGTGGGCCACCAGTAGACCGGAGGTAATAGTTGTGCCATTCTTAAAAACAATTCAGGTGTGAAGGAAACAAAAAAGACAAACATTAGGCTGTTCGATTGACTGAAAGTGCTGTGTGCCCTCCTGTGTCTCTAAGGATTGGCAACAAGGGGGAAAGACTGAGGTGTATCTGTGGGGCAATGGACGTTTCGGGCAGCTGGCTGGAATGGGAACCAATCTTAGGATGCCTACACTGGCACCCTCTCTGTTACAGACACAGCAGGTACTGTTTCACGCAGGGTGCAGTCTTTGTTCCTGATTGCTGCTCTTTTATAATGCTACTTCACTTTTTTTGGGCGATTCAACTGTCTTTCAGGTTGTGTGTGGTCAGAACTGTACCTTTCTGCTCCAGTCCAATGGGACTGTACTGGCTGTAGGAGAAGGACAATATGGCAGACTGGGCCAAGGGAATTCTGATGATCTCTATGTTCCAACTATTATCTCTGCTTTTCAAGGTAAAGTATTCCCAAACGGGGTAAGAACCAGTCGGCGCTGGTCTGCTTTTGAATCTCTCAGTGTTTTGGTTTTTTGTTGGGGTTTTTTTGTCCTCAAGAGATTGGAAGGAAAACTAGTTTCCTTGTAGTACTGCAGTTGGATGTATTTGCTTGTAATTAGGCCTAACTGTTAATTTCCTCTAATTTGTAAATTTGTATCAGTCTAATTTACACTTGTCTGTGGGCAGGGTACGTGGTGACACAGCTGGCGACATCTTGTGGTTCAGACGGACACTCGATGGCCCTGACTGAGACTGGGGAGGTATTCAGCTGGGGAGACGGAGATTTTGGAAAACTGGGTCATGGCAACAGTGAAAGACAGAGGAGACCCAAACAGATAGAGGCGCTGCAAGGAGAAGAGGTCATTCAGGTATCGAGGAAGTCTTTGCACCAAACTTGTCATGTGATATTTTAATGTTTTTTTCAATAAAGTTAATCATGAGTTTATTGTATTTTATTAAATGCAGCCACTGTTTGATTGCAGTGCTTCTTAATTTGTAGCTTTAAAAAAATGAATATTTTCAAAGTTCACTGACTGAGTGAATTTAAACACAAATATTTGTTGACATAGATGAATTTAACACAGCTTTGCTTTGTTAGCTCGCTTGTGGCTTCAGGCATTCTGCTGTGGTTACAGCAGATGGGAAGTTGTTCACCTTCGGTAGTGGTGAATCTGGCCGTCTGGGTCAAAGGTCGACATCTAACAAAATGCTGCCTGAAAGGGTGGCTGCACTAGAGGGATATCATGTTGGACAGGTAAATCATGGACAGCATTGGCTTTGAATGTAAAAGACTTTAAATGTCAATTTTTACACTAAAAAAATCAAACTTTGGTTACGTTTCTCAGGTGTCATGTGGTCTCAATCACACTTTGGTGGTGTCTCTTGATGGCATGGTTGTGTGGGCATTTGGAGATGGAGATTATGGTAAATTGGGAACTGGTTCTTCCACAGCAAAATACTACCCTCAGGTAGGTTAGCGCTACCAAAGATTCACTTTTAGGAATCCTGGAAGGACAAAAAGTTTATGTTTGTGTTATTTTTTTCCTGTTTGTAGAAAGTTGAGCAACTTTGCAATAAGAGAATTAAGAAGGTCTGTTGTGGAACTCAGTTCTCTGTGGCCTTGGCCTGTGATGGACATGTCTACACATTTGGTCAAGGTACATTATACTGTCAAATTCAAACATATTATGTAAACCCAACAGTGTTTGCATTATTGGTTGAAATATTGTTTGCAAGCTTCCCTAAATCCCCAAAAGTTGATTCTGTGTATCTGGATGTTTTCAGTGGGAGACTGAAAATGCTTCCTTACCTGAATGATTGAACGTACATCAAATTTAAACTTCCTGCTACCAAGGAAACTAAAATTTACAAAAAAAAATTGCATTACTTTTTTCAGAGCGTATGATTGGCCTGCCGGACTCCATGCTGAAGAACAAATCCTGCCCCCAGGTGGTGCCGTCCCTGGAAGGACTGTTTATAGAAGACATTGCTGTGGGCTGTGAGCATGTGCTCGCCATGTCCTCCACTGGAGACGTCTATGCCTGGGGCAGCAACAACGAAGGACAGGTAATCGGCGTGCTCTGAAATTGACAGGCTATGCTTACATTGCAGATTTTAACATCTTGCCATGTTGTGTTTTAATGCGTGTGTTCCAGCTTGGCCTTGGGCACACCAACTCAATGAAAGAGCCCACGCTTGTCGCAGCCCTCCAGGGTAAAACCATCAGGCAGATCTCTGCTGGCCGCTGCCACAGTTCGGCGTGGACCACCCCCTCTACCTCGATGAAGAACTCAGGTACAGACACATACGGCGTTACATTGCACACACTATGATGGATGAATGGGAACACACCTGGTACTGCATGTTTTACTTTTATCTCCAGGTGGCTCTGGGAATTTCCAGTTAGGCCTTCCACAGTCAGTCCCTCCCCAGTACACCACTCTGAAAGACTGTAGCCCTGATGTTCTCAGCATGCGCCTCAGGGTACTCTACCACTTTTCTGATCTCATGTACAAATCCTGGAGGCTGCTCAACCTGGACACCAAAAATCCGGTACCTGTAATCCCCTTTTTTGCTCTTTTTAATGTGTTAAAAGAGTAATAAATACTTCCTGGCTATAATTGTGCATCTGTTCCTTTTTATTGTCCCGTCCATCCTTATATGCAGGTGTCCACTTCACGCTATAATTCAGGAACAACAGCCATTATACGAGGGGAGCTCAGAGGCCTTCTATCACCCAAGGTCAACACTCTGCCTCTTGTGCGCTCGATTGGCAGAACAATGACCCAGGGCAAAACATATGGGCCTCAGATCACTGTAAAACGGCTTTCCACAAGGTAAGAATGACCATGACATTCAGCGTGTTGGCAGCATGTGAATGTCTTCAGGAGCCAGCTGGTGGAAAAACAGGACTTGGCCAGAACAGCTTGCTGTGTTTCCAATTGGCCGGCCAGGATTAATAATGGAATTTCAGGGCTTTTGTTTGGCACCTTTGTTGTTTTGACCTGTTACTTGTTCTGTGTGCCCATTTAAACCTTCATATTCCCTCACTCTTACTCCTCTGCAGAGGGCGTTCGAGCAAACCCATCTTCGTGCAGATCGCAAAGCAAGTGGTGAGCCTGAATCCTCTGGAACTGCGGCTGCCGTCACGAGCCTGGAAGGTCAAGCTGGTAGGAGAGGGAGCTGACGATGCTGGCGGAGTGTTTGATGATACCATCACCGAGATGTGCCAGGTGGGGATGAAAGCCGCACATTAACGTCAGAGATTGCTAATAATGCAGGCTGGAACGTTCTTTACTTTAACTGATAAATGGTAATGTGTTTACACCAGGAGCTGCAGTCTGGTGTGGTGGATCTTCTGATTCATACTCCCAATAGCTTTGCAGATGTGGGCAGTAACACTGACAGGTGCACATTTAAAATAAAAAAATAAAAACATTTATGAGTGTTTTAGAAGTGTAACAGAACACACAGCCTCTTGTACTAACTGAGTATCTCCACAGGTTCCTGCTTAATCCAGCGGCGCACTCGGATGATCACATGGTCCAGTTTCGCTTCTTGGGTATCTTGATGGCAGTGGCCATCCGCACTAAGAAACCTCTGGACCTTCATCTGGCTCCTTGGGTGTGGAAGCAACTTTGCTCGATGCCACTCGGGGGAGCTGACTTGGAGGAGGTGGACCTGCTCACCTACCGCAACCTCCAAGGCATCCTTCACCTCGAAAACAGTGAAATCACTGAGGACAATTTCCATGTGGTAAGATATTGTGTGAACTGGGTTATTGCAGAATGAATTAATATTAATGTTTCCTTTACGCCTTCCTCCTGAGCTTTTTTTTTTCCAAGTCCTTTATTTCTCAACCCTTCACCTTATTCCCATTATTATTCCTCTGTGTTATCTCCCTCTGAAGATGATCCCACTGGATTCATTCATGGCCCACAGTGCAGATGGAAGGCTGGTACCTGTGGTTCCCGGAGGTCAAAACATCTCTCTGACCTTTGGAAACCGGACTGAATATGTGGAGAGAGCTCTGGAATACAGACTGCATGAGATGGATTCCCAGGTTTGAAGTGTTGTGGGATGATTTGGCTGTGACTGGCAAAAATGTAGTCAAGTGTTAACATGAAAAAAATGTATCTGAGCATGCAGCCTGCAATCATACTGATCAGGTCGCTTATTTTATGCCTATAGTTAAGAGTAAATGTTTCATGTTACAAAAACTTTTGAGTAGAGTTTTGTATTTCATTTATTTGGTACATTTTGTTTCAGTTCAGTTTATTTGTGTTTGCTTGTTTCATTTTAGTTTAATTCTGCTTCATTTTTTGTGCCCCGGTCTGCCTGCCAGCTTCCATTAGTGCTCGCTGCTCACCCTGTTTGTTGTTGTTGTTGTTCTCGTCCCTCAGAAGTATCAAAGCTGAGCTTGTTCTGTTATGTCCAGGTGGCAGCAGTGAGAGAGGGCATGTCCACCATCATCCCCGTGCCCCTCCTCTCCCTGCTGACGGCACAGCAGCTCGAGCAGCTGGTCTGCGGCCTGCCAGAAGTCTCCGTCGAGATGCTAAAGAAGCTGGTGCGTTACCGCGATATCACCGAGAGCCACCAGCTCATTTGCTGGTTCTGGCAGAGCTTGGAGGAGTTCACGAATGAGGAGCGGGTGCTTTTCCTACGCTTCGTCTCTGGCAGGTCCAGGCTGCCCTCCAACCTGGCTGATATCACGCAGAAGTTCCAGATCATCAAGGTGGACAGGGTAAGGAGATCACAACCAGGTGACGAAGCTGGTTACATGAACAAATACCAAGAGTAAGATTATTAAGGTTTTCTTTTTCTTTTTCTCTCTGCTGCTCATATTTAGCCCATCAACGGACTTCCAACCGCTCAGACCTGTTTCTTCCTTCTTCGCCTGCCCCCTTACACGAGCCAGGCCATCCTCGCTGAGCGCCTGCGTTACTCCCTTCACAACTGCCCCTCCATTGACATGGACAACTACATGCTGACTCACAACACCGACCCAGCAGACAGCTCTGACGCCGAGGACTGAAGCAGAAAACTCCAGACTCCAACGGGGTGGTGAATGTTTTTCTCCGATGCCATGCACATTATGCACTGAACACAGATTTTTATTCACCAGACTTATACGGTTGTGATGTTTATATGTTGGTTAATTTAAAGATATGCGTAGATTTGAGTTTCTCTTCCAGCTGTGACAGATGTTGTAATTATTGCAGTGCTTATTCTGAATCAAAACTACTACAGGGAAAACAGTAAGATTTTTTTTAAAAATCTACGTGAATAAGCCACAGTTAAGGAGTTAAGGTGCCTGTTGTTCGAAAATGTGTAATAATTTATTGACCTCTGAAACTTACTGTAATCAGTAAAACTGTAAAATAAAGAGTGTTTAAATAAGGAATATGTTGTCTAAATAACATTTTCAAGTTGAAGTAATGTAGGAATAAAAAACAAAAGATCAAATGTACAGATTCAGATTTTGAAATGCACATATGATGTATTAATTAAGTGAAAACAAACTGGTTTACACTGGTTACCACTGGTTTGGTTTAGTGTCTCTTATGTTTGTTTATCTTTGTTGACTTTAAATGCACTTTAAAAAGTTTGGAGATCAGTACAAAGGTTAAATGTAGATGCAAAATATAATGTGATGTGTAGAATTGACATATACCATTTGTGATAGAATTTTAAAAATAGTTTTAAAGATAAAAAGACATTTTCTGAAAGTTTGATCCTTAAGAGAAAATCAGAGGTCCAGAGTAACGTGGTATTTAGAATCCCCATATATTCCCTGTAAAAAGTTCTATATGGGAATATTATCACTTTGAGCTTCAGATGAATTTATTGACGTTGAAGAAAAGGTCAGAGGTCAAATGTGAGATGATATTTTAAATCTTTAAACAGTACTTTCTATATGTTGACAATACCCACCAAACTTTAAGTTATAAGGCTTTTTTGGGTCAATTTTTAATCAATAAGTAAATTAACTGACGTTGAACGTTTGTGGATGCAAGTCGAATTTTAATATCTTTAAACCCCTACAGGTTTACGTTTTATCACAATTCATCCAAAACCTTTGGAGCTGTTTACAGGCAGAGTGTTACGCATGCACGCGAATGCCACCAAAAACCAAACCTCTTTGGTAGCAGTAAATATCTACATATGCCAATGCAATATAAATCAAGTACAAATAAATAAATGGATACAAATACATACATCCATGATTGTGATTGTGAGTTATGTAACCTATTCCAAGGTAACTGACTGACAGCTCTGCTAAACTGCACTGAGACCGATGTGTTTAATCAGATTAGATTATTAGATTAGGATAACAAACTTCATTTTTTAAACAGGATTGAGAAACAATTTCCACTGCCCGTTACAAGAAGAACTCCAAAGCTCTGAATAAAGCTACACATTTGTAATCTAGCTGAAAACACAGTTTCAAGTGTAGTCAGTCAACTTTCTCTAAAACAAATAAATCCTGTGAAGAATTATGGGGCATTAAAAAAGTACAGTAAGAAAGAAAAAATAGTTCCAGTGAGGGTTTCTGCTGAAAATGATGCACCTAAAAATATTTTTATAAAAATCTTCTTTAACTTCATCACACAGAAAATATTTTTTCTGTGTAAGGCCCAAATATCAATGGCATCTACGGAAGAGGATTAGGGCCATTGGGGGAAAAAAAAAGAATTCAGAATTTATAATAATCTCTGAATTCTGACTTTTTTCTCAGAATTCTGAGAAAAAAGTCAGAATTCTGACTTTAATCTCAGAATTCTGAGAATAAAGTCAGAATTCTGACTTTAATTTTTTTTTTTTCCAGTGGCCCTAATCCTCTTCCGTACATCAAACTGGTTCGGTCATTACAACAAGACAAGAGTCCAGACAAGTTAGTGACTTAAACATAGCAGTGCCTGAGCTCAGCTTGCCAACATACTCACAATACTAACTGTGTAAGCACGTGGATCTCTGGCCATTTGTAATAAATAGTGAGAAAAACAGTGCCACTATAGAGGATAGTGCATCTGTGTCTGCATGGTGAACCAGTTTTTCTTAGGACAGAATAATCTCTGGGATAAAGATGATGTTAAGTAAACAATAAATGTCAGTGGGGGAGCTAGAATACTAAAATGTGTGCTATTTCCTACAGTCATTTCTATTGCAAGCTAAAACACAAGTAACTCAAAAGAAACACAAAATTACTGAGCTGTCATTTTGCTCTCACATTTACTGGTGCGCTAGCAGATGGTCATATTAAACCCGCCCGCAGTTTCAAACAATTGAGCTCACCATGCCCGAACCTCTTTATTTTTCAATTTTTAAATGTTTGGTCTGTATCATGTCAGTGAGGGTAGATATCCCTAATTTGGTCATCACAGGCACACAGCCTCGGCTGTGAACACAGCCAGTTGGCTGATTGAGCAGCATCACCAAAGCTGCTTCATTAAAAAGTCCAAGAATTGAAAACAAACAAACAGCTGGGAATGAAAGTGTAATGGTTCTTTTTAAAAGTGTTGGCAAGGTTTATGGGCAAAGCACACCACAGCCCAGGTATGGTAGGTCCAGGTATTGTTTGTTGCATGTTTACTAGGCTGAGTCAGTCTGCTTCTTCAAGCAAACTGGCCACAGTGCCCTGAAACAAGTCCAAAATCTGGACAGGTAGGTATTAGATTGACGTAGACAGGACAGATATTAGACTGCAAGACATAACAGAGACAAGTCACTATAGGTCAGATTGGAGAGGGATGAATAACTCAAAGGGAAGCAGACTTCATGGCTCTCAGAATTCAAAAGTAAAAAAGCAGAAAATAGCTGACAGATGTGCGTGATCTGAATTCTTCCACCTTTGCAGAAAATAATGCGTTAATGTGGGACTGCATTATTCATACGAGAATAAAAAACAGACTGAAAAAATGGTAATGGTAATTTCTTTCATTTTCATTTGCATTAACCTCTACTTGAGAAAAAAATAACAGAGAAAGCAACAGCTTCCCGATTGTACAAAAAAAGAGATCTTAATCCGGCTCCCTTGGGTCTAATGTTGTCCTGAGTCAGCACAGCTGGTGCGTCTGCAATCTGTCTGTGCTGGTGTGAGGTACGTCTGCTCTGACCTTATTACCCATCTGTTTTCCCTGTGTGCTGTGTGGCCAATAAGGCACAATTCAAGTCAGCAGCCCTGCAGCTGAGAGGGGGAGCGTTTCTCATGAGAAGCCTCGCCAGATATAAATAAAAGCGCCATCTATCAACCTAACAGGTCCGCAAATTTGAGAAGGCAGGGCAGGAAAAAAGCAAAAACCAAAAAAGCACCAAGGACTTGTTTCACAGATTTGTTGCAGTTGTACTACTCTAATGGATATTCCTGTGTGGAGGTAGATGTCATTTCAGGTATTTTGTATTTAATTCTCTTTGCAGATGGTTGTAGAGGCCAGGGTCATTAAGGGAGACCCAAAAGGACATTAGACTACAATAAGTAATCACAAATGAAAATATCCTGTCTGGAATTACAAGCTGGAACAATGTAATCTTAGCCAAAATGGGATTATCTGTATATGAAAGATACTCTGAACTCTGTGCCGAAAGAAACAATTTATCTTACTATAGGTTATAAACCAAAAAGCTAAAACATGAAAACTACTGGCAGGTGATGTGACGTAATTGGAAACTGGTTCCTTGCTTAGATAACCTGGCTAAACTTTGCAGTGTGCCCCCATCCACTTCATATAAACTGCTTCTGATATCTTTTAGGTATGATAAGGTGGAGCAACACAAGATTGGAAAGGTGGTCTTAATGCTGTAGCGGTTGTCGTGTTTTTTCTAAATGTTCTTAATTAAACATTGTAGACATGCAGTACTGCCTATTACCACTGGAGGGCAGTCTGATTGTTGAACTTCCCACTGCATCTACCAAGTTCAAGAAATCAATTAGAATCAGGGGAGATCATTAACACACACACATGCACACACACACACAAACACAGATCCTGCATAGCTGATGATGCATTATCACTGTTAGCTAATATCTGTCACTGTGTTTCTGCTAATTTGATCAGTACAAATAGATGACAACCTGGATGAGCTAAAATGACTCCAGTGACAGACCTTTTCAAACCTGAGCAACAGTAGCACACAGAGCTCTGTGGATTCATGCACTTCTAGTTATGGTCAAACCTTTTTTTCCTACTAGCCATAAGTGCAGATGGATTTAGTCTGCATCATGAAATTATTTAAAAAGAAAGAACTGCTTGCATGTCACCGCTCTAATTAGGTCACCTACATTTGTTTCTGCCCAGGTGCAAACAAAACATGTACGCTGAGTTTCAAAAGGAACCCTTGGATATCTCCCAATTTAGCCACATTTTTCATCCATCACAAATCACAAAAGGGAAGCCAAGACTGATTTTTTTTTCCCCTTTTACTCTGCCAACTCTGTCATCCACAAATCGATTGTTTGATTTCAAATCCACACTGGTGGTGCACAGAGGCAAAACTACAGTTTAAAAAACTGCATTATAAAAATAGCAATTTGGAAACAGAGAGATTTGTCTTGCATTTCTCCCTTCACTGTCACTGCTGCCAACCAGCTTCAGTTTAAACCTCATGAGCAAATACATGCACTTCATATGCCTTAAAAATAGAAGCCATTTGCTTAAACCAGTGCACCACCACAGATTAGCTGTTGTGTGGACTATTTGACCCTTTAAACTACTTTAAACAAACAGTTCAGCAATTATTACAGTGCTGTACTGAGGTTTTTCTATCTATTTGCTTCCCAGGAGCCAGACCATGTAATTTTTAAAGTGTTCTTGAGTAATAGTTCTCCTGGGTTTCTGAAGATCTTTTTGAATTTTTCTTTGGCTGCTTTTTCACTCACTCTCAGTCCAATCTAGAGAGAGGTACAACAGTGAGTGTTTACAACCAACTGTAAAACCCGGTAGAGACTGTGTCAAGGTTTGGGACTGCATTTTAGCTAGTGGTGTTTGGTGGATATTATGGAATGCAAAAAAGCACCATTAGATTGTGAAACACCTGGAAAGCACCCGATTGGCAACTACATTTTTCAGCACGATCCCAAACACTTCACCAGTGTGCACACCTTGGATAGATAGAGTCTGCACCTCAACATTACTGAAGCAGTGTAGGATCATATTTACAGGGAATGAACAAGAGGCAGCCAACATCAAAAGAAGAGCTTTGAATGTCCTCTAGGAAGCCTGGAGAAGTATTATTGAAGTCTATTCAAAGGAATTGCAAGGAAGCTTGCCTAGCAGCGTTCATGGTGGGTGGCTTAAGACAAAACTAAAATCATTATTTTTCTTTGTTTTCTTTTTTACAAAATAGTTGATGTACAAAAGACATCAGAGGACCACCAAAACTGGGAGGTAACTTTATCATTACCTT